ATCAGTCAAGTCTTGATGTTAAACATTGTCTTGATATGATGCACGTTGAGAAAAATGTGTGTGATAGTTTGATTAGAACACTTCTAAACATTCTAGACAAGACTAAAGATAGTAAGACTTACCGTCTTTGTATGGAGGTGGTGGATATACGAAAACAGTTGGCTTCGATAGATAGAGGAAATAGAACTTATATGCCTCCAGCATGTCACATTCTATCTAAAAAGGAAAATAAAATTTTATGTGAGTGCTTGCATGGTATCAAAGTTCCCCAAAGTTACTCATAAAACATAAAGAATCTTGTACCAATGAAAGATCTCAACTTAAGTGGTTTGAAATCTCATGATTGTCATGTAGTGATGCAATAACTTCTACCAGTGGATATCCATGGGATTCTACCAAAAAATGTGAGATAACTATAACCAGATTGTGCTTATTCTCTAATGCCATATGTAATAAAGTTCTTAATTTCAAAAAATTAGATGAATTAGAAGACAGGGCTTCCTTAATCTTGTGTCAATTGGAGATGTACTTTCCTCCATCATTTTTTATATTACGGTTTACTTACTTGTTCATCTAGTCAAAAATCATATTTTGTGGTCTAGTTTATTTAAGGTGGATGTATCTAATTGAGCGATATATGAAGATCTTTAAAGGATATATGAAGAATCGTCACTAACCGGAAGCTTCAATTGTTGAAAGGTACATCACTGAAGAAGATGTTGAGTTTTGTACAAACTATTTATCAGAAGCATATTCTATAGGCATTCCAAAGTCTCGTCATGCTGATCACACAGATGGATGAGGCATTTAAGGTCTAAAAGTTACGCCAATTGCTCAGAATGTAGTTATTCAAGAACATTTCTATATATTGAAAAATATTGATGAAGTGCAACCTTACGTAGATACTCACAAAAGACTTTTGAAAAAAAATATCTCCGAATGAACGACAAGTTGTTGTTTATAGAGCATAACAAGAGATTCATAGATTGGTTTAATAAAAGGGTATCTAATGATCGTAGTGCCTCCGGGATACTTAAGTGGTTATCGTACGAGACAAAATTTAATGTCATAACTTGGACTGCATACGCCATTGGTCATTATACCTTTTATACAAAATCAAAATACGATCATAGTAAAATGCAAAATAGTGGAGTTATGGTTGAAGTCAAGTCAATGTATTTCTCTAGTTCGAAAGATAAGAATCCTATATTGGCAACTACTGCTTTTTATGGTGTCATTGAGGAGATTTGGGAGACTGATTGTGTTACTTTTAAAGTGCCTTTATTTAAATGCAAGTGAGTTTCCAATAATAGTAATGGTGTACACATTAATGACTTAGGATTCACACGGGTTGACCTTGGAAAAGCATCTTTTATGACTAAACCATTCATTACGACTTCTCAAGCAAAACAAGTATTCTATGTGACCGACTCTTCCGACATATCGGGGAAATGGTCAATCATTCTCCAAAGAAAACACATTCCTCTTAATGATGAAAGTATTGATATTCCGTCCATTCCTTCTTACACAACACAATTTCCTAACTCATATGATGAAGTTGATGGAGATGTTGCGCATGCTATTCGAATCGATAATTAAGAAGTCATATGGGAAAATTAACAAGTAAGTATGTTATTATTAATTCATAATATATTAATTGTATGCTATAATTTCTACGTATTTTTACTAATGCGAGTATGATTATTTGAAATCATAGGTATTTATATGTCAAAGCACCAAGAGATAAGACGCCAAGAGACAAAGACACCTAGAGACATGAAACCAAAACACCAAGATACATTTATGTGTCGTTTTCTAATATGTAAACTGGAGGTTGTTTTAATTGTGAAATTTTGGTTTTGAAGTAATATATAATTTTTTATTCTTAATCCAAATTTTATTGTTATTATGATACAATTATTATTATTATATTATAATAACTATATTCACAAATACAAATTGTTTGTTCTATTGAGATTAATTTGTTGTGATATGATCCACAAAATCCAGGTTAAAAAATGGGGAAAATTATAAAACCAAGATTAAATTTATTACTTCAGCGGGAAGTTTCACAACTGTTAAATAACACAATTGTTCTAATATCTCGTGTGTTGTCCAGAATAATATAAATATCAAAACAGAGTTTCTGAGAGTCGAACCATAGACCTATATGTAAATCACAATGGTTCTTTGGAAAAACCACTGTGATAGGACGTGCGCTTTCCAATTTTCTATAACGGTTCACGAACCATAATTGTAAGTAATATACAACCACACACTACATAAGAACGTTTGGTCCCACGTGATTATATGTCATTTCCAACTGTTGTTAAAGGCCTTGTCCGTAGTAGTAGCACCACGAATCTAATATGGTATATCGCATCATCAATTCTTAAGAGATGCATGATGTACCTAGTGTAGTATACCACATCATCAATCAAGATGAGAGGTGCCTCAAATATTTGAGAAGGGTTAAAACTCTCTCGAAAACAAACTTTTTATGCAAAATAGGGTTGGGGACGATCAAGGCGGTGGTTTGGACATCATGGCCATGACGGTAGTCACTTGGGTGACGCCCAGCAGGGGTTAGCTATTGACCACACCAATAACTGTACTCTAGGGTGATGGAAGTCAACCTTTCATTAAGTATACAATCATCATCTTCACTTAGGATGTGACGGCGAGCCTGTCACAGTGGTTGGATTCGTCACAATGCACCAGATGCATTTTCTGCTGCAGAAATGTAGAACAACCCCAAAATGTCCAAAAATTCACTTCATACTCTAATCAGTAAACTTCCAGAATCACATTCAATTTAAAACATGTCATATGCATCTAATTTAGCAACATAAGCATCGTGTAAAACACAAAACATACATAATTTAAAAATCAAATCGTACATTTCATGAAAAGAGCAAAACTCTCAAAAAAACCCAATTTTCTCCTCTCGTGTTTATGGTCCCAAAATGTGCAGAAAAACCTCTAATCTAAGAACCCCTCCTTAGGTAGAACCTAGATTCAAGCTTGATGCAGGTTTTTGGGGCTGATTGAGGATTTTCTGGGGCTGATTGAGGATTTTCATCAAATCTCCAAGGACATGCAAGGTAGACTTCTTCCTTCTCTCATCCTTTCCTTTCACGTTTTTCTTTTCTTCTATTTCTCTTCAAATTCTGATTTTGCACACATCAGGAGAGGAAATGGAATACTATTTTTAGTAAAAGAGGACCATCATTGTGAAAATTCCAACTTACCCTCAATTCACCCAAAAATTTTGAAACTACCATTCCTAGTTCAAACTTACTAGCTTAGAAATTGGAGTGTTAGTAATGAATTAATTTGATATAATTCATTTCAATTTCTATCAAGTTACCTAAATACTCTTTATTTTCATTAAAATTAATATCACCTCTTCAAATTAAGTATTTAGCATTTAGAAAATATTTAGGGCGTTACAAGTCGGCAGAAGAGATGCCCAATATTGGAGTGGCCTGACACTTCTTGGCCATACATAAAAATACCTCTTACCTATCCTTGTGTCACTAGAAGTAGTCACATGAGATGGAAGAAGAATCAAAGAAAGTAATGGAAGACCTCTTTAGAATCAGATTCAACATTGTGATAATTATGAAGTTAACCAAAAAATGTTGAATATGTTTCAATTACACCGACCTCAACAAAATGTACCCTAAAGACACTTATCCCTTTTCACATTTATAAACGAACACTTGGGTACAACCAAATATTGGTGGATTCCATAGACTACATGAAAAAACCCTGACTTACAAGGGTAATTTTTTTCCATAAGATGATGCCCTTCAGGTTCAAGACTGCGAGAGTGATTTTTGTTATATTTGAGGAGGGTGAAACCAACTCTTTCCATGTTTCTTGGTCATGGAGTCATACAGACTACTCTCTAGTTCTCTGATTCAGGCTCATAAGGTCTCTATAAATATCTAAATTTTAGAGTTGAGAAAGGATGATCGAATCATTCACCCAAAAAAACACATATACAAAGCTTCTCACCACCTTCTGTGAGCTAGTTCTAAATACTATCAAAATACTCTATACACAATATACAGCTCTACTAACAGTAGGCTACCCTCGTTGTGATTTTTTTAGCAAGTACACTAGTCAAGCAAGTTTCCTCTTTCAAACTCGAAGTGGATTCAAGTGAGTTTATGCGGGTATATGTATGTTTCCATGCATAGTTGGAAACCCACATTGTTTAAAATGATGAAGGTTTGAGTAAAATATATACGAGAAGACTCATAAACTTAATGTCTTTAAGGTTTTGGGTCAAAATGTAGTTTTCAACTCACATGTGTGGTTGTTTGTCTTAATGTGGATGATTGTCCAAATTTTTTTCATGATTCAATAGTAATGTTAAACAACTTATTTGTGGTTGTTCTTAATCTGGTACAATGATCCACATTAGTGTTGTAGGCTTCCCTCAAATTTAAAAAGATTGAATTTTCTTAAATCTTTTAGAATTTCTACAAACTCATATCATCTAAAAAATAATTGATGATTACAACTGTTATAATCTTACAAACATGAGGACACTAATTTCTTCCGTAAATTGAAAATATTGAGTTCACAACAAAAGTTAAAAAATGGCTTAAATGTATTTTTGGTCTTCATATTTAGGTATTTTTAATTTTTCTTGTCCCTTAATTTTATTTGTCATCCCTCCACTTTTGTACATACGACATCCTCTTTTAATATGTTTCAATGTCACTATGACGCCAAATAATATTTATAATATTACTTAATAATATAATTAAATTATTGTACTCCCATATGGAGTATATTTTTAAATATTTTTTTCTAAAATAAATTAATAACTAGTGATCTTAATCAACTTTTTTTAAAATTAATTAATTAAAAAAAAATTTAGGCCTAAAACCCATGTATCGTTCCAATATATTCTTTTTAATAAGGATAATATGTATCAAAAGAAAATAGGTAAAAAATAGAGGGGGGGTTATACTGAGACCCTCTCAAGAAGAACATAACCTAAAGAATGGCAAATTTAACTTATTCTTTACAAAATCTGCCCTTAAAATTTGGGGAATCGAATCAAAACTAATGTAGTTAGTCACTGTAAGGCCTAAGTTATATACAGAATCAACGCAGCTATCCTCTTCTCGGTAGATATGTGAAGCCACAAAAGAAAAATTAGCAGTGATATTTACACAATTAACCTATCTAGTTCTGATTTGCCAAGGCACTTTGAAAGGAGACTTAAAGGCTTGAACCATATCTATAGAATCCGTTTCTATCGAAAGATTTCGCCAACCCTTCTCATTAGATAACTCAATTACTGACATAGCAACTGAGAGTTTGACAATGAGAGAATTCGAATCACCCAAGAGCAAAGAAAAAGCTCCAAGGAACTGATCGTCAAAGTCTCTGACAATACCACTACAAGCAGGGGGACCCAGGTTACCTAAAGACGCTCCATCACCATTGAACTTAATTCAATTACTAGGGGAGGGTTTCAAATAACCTCCAAAATTTTGGGGGCGCGATGAAGCTGGATAGCAACTTTGAAAGATTTCAGCAACTCGAAATTGCAGATATTCACGAAAGAAGGAACTTTGTAAATATTCCCAGCAAAAGAGAAAGCCGAAACAATACCAATGATAGAAAAGGATATATGAATGAATTTCTCTTTAAATATCATACTATTACTGGAAAACCAAACAACATTAAGTAATTGAATTACTACAACATTAATAATTCACTTACAGTGGTCAGACCAATCTCTATTGCAAACGCTTCAGACATTGTCCCAATCCTTTACCTAACAATTAATATTCAAGACAAGCAACAATCATCTCCATAGGCGGGCAGCATACGAACACTAAAAAAAAGACGAGAGAAAGATTCTTTAAATCGCACACACAGGCTGTAGACCGAAGGGAAAGCAAATTTATGTAACTTTAATTGCTCAACCTTTGCTAACTTGTTAAGAAGCAACCTCCAAACCATAAATGATATAGAAGGTGAAATAGATTTCGACCAACCCAACACCACCATTGCTTTCTAACACCCAAAGGCCTCTTAAAATCATAAGCAGGTTTAAGAGATAACTACCCTTAAGATGAATGGTCCCAAACCCTTTTATCCAGACAGAGATAAAAAGGTATATGACACATATGAATTCTAATCTGAATAGATTATGAAATACTGCAGACGCTGGCCAAAAATTCCATGACCTATTAATGATGAAGGCGTTGACTTACACCTCGTCAGGAAATACTTGGAAACCCAGCTCATGAATCAACGGAACACCACACCAACGATCCTGCCAAAAACTAATATAATTGTTGTTACCAAGCATCCAAAAAGAATTCTCAAGAATCGATTGCATACCATGCTTAATAGAGGATCAAATTGCAGAGAAGATGTGATGTTTGATGAATTTATTTTGCCGCATAAACCAAAGCCTAAGCAAGACTGCCCAAGGCTCCTCAGAATTAAGCAAATCCCACCCATTCTTAAGACATGAGGCTTCATTTAGGACCACCAAAGAGTGAATCCCTAAACCACCCTCTGAAAGAGGCTTGCAAATAAACTTCCATGCCACATTAACAATTTTCCTCCTAGAGGCATCGACGCTCCAAAAGAAATTGCGACCAGCAAGTTCTAACCTCCGAATAAGAGAAATCAGCCAAGCATAAATCGATATGGAGTGGATTAGCATACCTTGAATGGTAGATTTCACTAACTCAACCCTACCGACAAAAGAAGAAGGAAAATTTTCCAAGACGCAAGCTTGTGAATGATTCTATCCGCGATTGGTTGAAGAAAAATCACCTCAGACCTACCTTTAAATATAGGCACCCCGAGGTAATTAAACGGAATGAAACCAACCAGAGAGCACCGACAGAATATTGAGATGAGACTGAGACATGGATCCTACGTAGATAGAAGATTTCAAATAATTAACCATCTGACCAAAGACTAAAGAATACTCTATAAAACTGAAACCAACGCCCTAATATTAGATATGCTACCTTTGCAGAAAATGAAGACATCGTCCATATAAAAGATATACAAAGGAACCCCAATTTATAAAGGACCAAAAATTAAATCCAAACCACCAGAATTAACCAAATACAATAACTTCTTACTAAAAACTTCTTTTGTCAGACAAAATAGAAGGGAGAGAGCATTCCCTTGACAGACTCGTCGAGTGCAATTAAAAAAACAGTGAAACGAATCCAATCTACTTAAGACATTAACAATAGCATGTGTGAGCTTTATAAACTCTCACAACTTGTAAACAAATCAATGTGAGATTTGGTTTTGCTTTTTGGTTCTCTTCCATTCTTTGCAGATCCAATTGCTCAACTTTTTTATTCTCCTCCATTCTTTCAATGGATTTTTTTAGTTACTCTGCTTTTGAAATGAATGAAATGTTGCAATCTCTTAATTTAATCAACTATATGTTATATCAAACCAAATTAAGCTTGCTTTGAAGGATCATCTTTAGTCTATTTATGTTGCATTTGACGGTTCCATTGCAGGGGTAAGAATCTCATTACCAAGGTGTTCATCATGTAAAGTGTAACCAGTGTTGGAATAATATAGCAAGTGTGAGTAAGTGGTGAAATAGTCTCACATTGGATAGAAATATGGAGACTTAAACATATATAAGTGGGAGAATCCACTCACCTATCACCTTAAAATTTTAGATGGAGAAGTGGTGTGTCTCTCTCAAAAGTGCTTGTTCCTACACTATGCATCAATGCTCCTAATAATCACCCTCCAACAACCAAAACATATATGTTAAATGATATGATTAAAACAGTCGAGTTTCAAATTTAAAATATAAAAAAATTAAATTGATAAATGTTTAATGAATAGACGGAATAAAATTAAGAGACTAAAAAGTTGAGTTTTAAATTTACAAAATGAAAAAAGTTAAAATCATTCAAATAAAATAATAAAAAATAGAGTTAAAAGATAGTATACTAATTATATAAAATAATTTTATATTATTATTTAATAAAAATATATTATTTAATTATGTAATATAATTTATTTAAAAATAATAGTATAATTTAATATTTAATATAATTGTGATTAATTGACAGTATAAAAATAAATTATACTGTCAATATACCATCTCTTTTCTCTAAAAAAAATTAAATTTAAAAGATAAAAATAAAATATCAAGAAATAATCTAAGTTTATAGGAGAAAAAAAAAGGTTAAAAACATCCGATAAATTGATAAATGTTAGACCGAATGAAATTAAGGAGTTTCGAATTTATAAGCTAAAAAGTTAAAGACATTCAAATAAAATAATAAAAAATAACCTAAATAAATTGATAAATATCCAATAAACCAACTGCAAGGCTTAATAATACACTTGTACATAAAAAATAAAGTAAAAACAAATGTATGTAGACTTTTAAATACTTTAAGTATTGGCAAGCAAATGATTTTGGATTTTTTTTTTTAAAAATAGAAAGACAAAAAAGAACATGCATAGACAAGGACATGTGAGCATGTCTATATATAAATTATTTAAAATTTTTATTTTAAAAATCATATGTTAAACAAAACCAAAGAGAATGGGTAGTACTTGAAAATGAGGTTTAGACGTTGATGAAAATTAAAAGATTGGATAATGAATTTAAAAAAAGTAATACTTCATAAAAGACCATAAATGTATTGATAATAATTCAACAATTAAAGTGAATTGCACACAAACGTTATAAGTTGGCAAAGGTTTGTCCACATGTTTGCTTGGCCGTGCAAGATTAAACGACCATAATAGAGTTTAACAAGTAAATTAGGGTTGGTGATGATAAAAAAATAGTTTATGTTTGATAAATCAATTTATAAAAATAATTAATTCATAATAATAATTTTTAATTAATTAACATTTTATAATAAATAAATTATTTATTTTTAAATTTATAATTTAACAAAATTAATGGTTGAAATTAACTTATAATTATTAAATAACATACAAATATTTAATTAATATTCAATATTCTTATTTACGATAACATGAAAAAAAAATTGAAGGAAAAAACCTATAAATTACCTGAATTGGCTTATAAGAAATAAATTTATAAAAAGTATAATAATTAAAGAACTTTTAAATATGAGTTTATAAGTTACAAAACGAAGGTGAATGGTATAAACTCAAAAATATATTTTTGAAAAGACATAAAAATATGCTAAGAGTTCCACAAAGATGTGTAAGAGTTCAAAATTAAGTTTTCTTTTCCAAATAATTCTTGATCACTGCCTTGTCTTTCTTTAATTTCATTTAGGTTATTGTACTTCAAATTCCTTTAAACTTATCTCATTTCATAGTTAATCATATCAGTAAGTTCCACCGACTTCATTCCTAAATAGGATGAGAATTTACTATTAGAACACAAACATCAAAAGTATTACAATATACCACACTTTCCCAAAAATAAACTAAACATATATGCAAACTTATCACAAAATCGTATCAATCTTAAAAATTTGTGTAGCGGCTTCTTCTCTTCTCTAATAAAACATTCTCTTAATAAATTTACTCCGTACAATTTTTGTTAATTCAAAATATATCTTAATAAATTTACTTCATATAATTTAAGTTAATTTAAAACTAGTCTCCAATTTTTGTATTTTAGAAACCAAAGTTTTAATAAAATGTAAGGAACTAATATTGACATGAGATAGTTAAACCAGCACTTTTAGTTAGATGGCGACGAAAGCAACGAAGAAGAACCGGGGGCGGCAGCTAAAAATTTCGGTGCCGCCGGTAACGTTGAACCTTTCACCTCCACCTCCCCTGATGTCGGTAGAAAGCCCACAAGCAGAGATGGAATCAGAGACAACATTGGAAGCTAACGACGAAGAAGCTAGCTCTGCAGATACCATAACAAAGACGAATCTAGAGACCCCTAATCGTAAGTTATGGGTTGATGTGCTAACAGAGAATAGGAATAAAGCTAAGGGTTTGGAAATGAAGTATATACCTCCTACTGTCATTGATGGCAAAATGGAAATTGAAATCGATGAGGATGATGCAAACTGTGAAGCCCAATACTGGGAAAACTCGCTTATCATGTACGTATTGGGGGAAGACCTAAGTATGCACTCGGTAAAGAACTTCATGATAAAGACTTGGAATAACGTTCAATTACCTAATATTTTCTACCATGAAGAAGGGTATTTCATTCTCCGATTTAGTACCAAAGACACGATGGAAACAGTTCTAATGAAGGGGCCTTACACCCATAGAGGTATGCCAATGATCCTGAAAGAATGGAGGAAGGTTTTAATCTAAAGAAAGACATGATGAGAACCATCCCAATCTGGGTGAAATTCCCCTTCTTGCCTCTCCACCTCTGGGGTAAGTCTAATCTAAGCAAACTTGCTAGTGCCATTGGTGTACCACTGGTGACTGACGAATGTACTGCTAGCAAACTGCGGGTATCCTATGCAAGAGTCCTAATAGAGGTAGATATCACTCAGAAATTGTTAGAGGAAATCAGTATCAAGGAAAAGGAGGGCACCACGGTTATTCAAAAGATAGAGTATGAATGGAGGCCTAAATACTGTGAGACATGCCAAACAATGGGTCATAACTGTGAAACCAGAGTAAGGCAAAATGAATGGAGACAAAAGAAGAGGCAACTACTAGAACCAACTCAAAGTAAGGAAACAGTCAGGAAAATTCCTGAGTTGGTAAAAACTACTGCAAGTGTTACTAAAGGGAAGGGTCCAGATAGCAGGAATCAGGGGGGTGGTTTCAGAATCAAAAGGGGAAGGGAGTTGGACTTCTCTAAACAAACAGGGGAAAAGCAGAAGTCCTTTGAAAGGTCATTCTGAAGATGCAGCAGCTTTACTATGTGAGAATGGTTATGGGGTTCTAGGGACTTTGAATGAGCCTCTAGAATTTGATAGAGGACCATGCTAGTCTCTTGGAATGTTAGGGGACTCAACAAGTTGGGGAAGACAAAAGAGATAAGCTCCCTTCTCTTACATCTTCAACCAACCATTAGCATTTTGCTTGAAACTAGAGTAAAAGAAAATAAGGCCAAGAAAATCAGAGATAAGCTTAATATGCACAGATCCTGTATAGATAACTACTCTGCCCACCCCAATGGTCGAATCTGGATTCTTTGGGATGACACAAAGGTTGATCTGAAGCTGCACAGTATGTCTAGTCAACACCTTCATTGTGGCATCTACACAGTTACAAGGGAGTTTCTCTTCTGGCTTACTGCAATTTATGCCTTAAACAAATTGGACATGAGAATAATTCTTTGGAGAAAGCTGGAAAACATCCACACTAACCAAGTTGGCCCTTGGTGTGCCATAGGTGACTTCAATAATGTGGTTACAACTAGGGATAGAATTGGTGGAAAAATGGTGAGTGAATATGAATTTGTTGATATTGCTAGCATGGTGAGAAAAACTGAACTGTATGAAATGGATAGTGTGGGGGACCACTACACCTGGTCAAATAAGCATGTCACTGGTACTATTTATTCTAGGATTGACAGGGCAATATGCAACAATGATTGGTTCCAGCAGTTCCCAGAGCATGTGCTGAGTGTTTTGCCTCCAAATGTCTTTGACCACTCCCTGCTTCTTATCAGTGGTCCTACTGAGGATAAAAGAAGTAATCACTTCAAATTCAACAACTATCTCATTGATATCAATGGTTTCAAAGATATGGTCA